AGGGCAGTGAAATGACATTTGTTTGGGGTTTCGTGTTGTGTGCCTCCATTTGGGTCTCTATTTGTGATTATTTTGGATAACTTACATTTGTTTGGGTTGCTTGAAAACATTCATCAATGATGTTTTTAGGGCTTCTTTTGGGATCAATGGTCAACTTGAGAGGTAAAAGTCGTTGAACCACAAGTTCTTTCATTTGGTCACACGATTATAGGTTGTAAAACCTATTTTGCTCACTATGTTCATACGTTGAGGGGGACAAGTTAACAGTTTAGTCGATTATAGTAGCTTTCATATTTGGAAGCGCTTGTGGGTATTGTGTGGTGTTGGTGAACATGTTTAGATACACATTTCAAACATCAGAATGCTTGTTCAGGCATGTTATGTACTTGACTTTTGGCTTGTTATGTTTCAGGACTATTTTTCTTAACTTAAAATATAGAAGATTGAGTAATAAAAGAAAAGGGAGGGAAACTATTTTTGGAATCTGAGTTGACACTTTTCAACATAGTTTTTTTTTTGAATTTTAATGGATGTTATCAAATGAACATTTTGTTGAATCAAATACATTATGGAAAAAGTTCAGAAAAAAAAAACCCAATGAATTATCTCATTTTGAATGATTAAGTCCATGAACTTTTTTTGAGTGAAAAAACAATTTAGCATTCTCATTTTGAATGATCAAGTCCCAGAACTATTTTTTTGAATTAAAAAACAATTAAACTTTCTTATTTTGAATAATTAAGTCCCTCAACATTTTTTTGAATAAATAAACCATCGAACTTCTAAAGATTGGTTACCTACATCTTTTTTTTTCCTTACAAAAGGCTACTTGTAACTGACTATGAATGTTCTAAAGTAAAAACAAACCTAAATTAGTTTCATCGTGACCAAACCCTATGTCATTGAAACCCTCACAAGCAACATAATCGCTTCCTCTCACCACTCCCCGTGCCCCAACGTTGTCTGTTCTTCATATCGCCTAACACACTATTGACCCCTATCACTGATCTCCCTCTTTTTGAACAATATTTTTGTCTATCAAAAGAAGGAAAATAAAATAATAATCGGTTACAAGTAGCTTTTTTTGTGTTAAAAAGATGTAAGTAACCAATTTCTAAAAGTTTGATGGTTTAATTCATTGACAAAAATGTTCAATGACTTAATCATTCAAAATGAGAAAGTTTGATTGTTTTTTTCATTCTAACTGAGAACGTTTAATAGTTTTTTTATTTAAAAATGCGTGGACCTAGAATGACTATGCATAGATCACCCGCCTTTTTGCAAGGTCAATCTCCTTATAACTCAACCTATTCAATAGGGCATTAGCGAGGGTTTAATGAGAAATTATTTCAACGATGTAATTATTTAAAATGAGAAAGTTTAATCAAAAATAGTTTTGAGACTTAATTATTTAAAATATGATAGTTTATTGGGTTTTTTTAAATTTTTTCTTATATAAATGTAAAAGGAAAAAAGATTATTCAACAACAAAAGATTGATTTAGAATAACTCACTTTCAATCTATAAATGTAAATGAAAGTCTCTTTTGTCTAACAAAATTTTGTTATCTATACTATATTATAAAACATTTGATAAAAAAATTTAAAAATCATTTTTTATGTATGAATACTGTTTAATGATAGATATTACTTAAAATTTAATATTACAATTAAATTGTGTGTAAGTACAATTTATTAAAGTTTCATATCTGAATTTGTGTAACTAACTACAAATAAACATAATTAAATACATGATAAAAATCTCATTTTAAATACAACAAATCTAAAATATGATTATAATAATCAGTGAGTTCTAACAAATTATCTAATTATTATTTTTATAAAAAATTATATATCAAATCAAAAATAAATTATTTCACTATTAAGCCTGAATTAAATTATAATAAAAAGTTGAATTAAAGATTCCACAAAAAACAAGAACTTTTAAATAGTTAATAATACTAATATTGATGTATTTTTTTCTTCAAATTTATATTTTATTCAAAAATAAAAACATTATTATTTTCAAAATAACATAAAGCTGTATTATAACATCGACAAAGATAATATATAAAATAAACATTAAAATGGAGATATATCACATTGTATTGCGCGAGTATCCTTCTAGTTTTCCTTTATTTGGTTACATTACAGCAATAAGAGTAAATTACGTTTTTAGTCCTTATGGTTTGTTGAATTTCTTTATTTTGGTCTATGTGGTTTTAAAATAACCATTTTGATCTTCATAGTTTATAATTCATTTCTGTTTTCATTTAAATGATTAAAACTTTATTACCTTTTTATTCCTATAGTTTACAATTTATTTTTATTTGAGTACCTCACACTTAAGAGTAGTGTTTAAGCTCAGGGACGAAAATGAAAATTAATTATAAACCATAGAGACTAAAACTGCGTTTATGAAACCACAAGAATGAAATCCGGAATTTGTAACAAACCATAGGGATGAAAAACGTAATTTACTCTAGTAATAACTAGAAGGATACTCGCGCAATAAAGCAAAATAAATCTCGATTTTAATGTTTAGTTTTTATTCTTTGTCTCTATCGATATAATACGATTTATGTGGTTTTGAGAAAACGATAATGTTTTTATTTTTGAATGAAATATAAATTTGAATATAGCATAAAATTTTGAAAAAAAATAAATTGACATTAGTATCACATTAATTATTTAATAATTCTCGTTTTTTTGTTGTAAGTTCTTTAATTCAATTTTTTTTATTATAATTCAATTTAGATTTAACAACAAAATAATTTATTTTTGATTTAATAATATAATTTTTATAAAAATAATAATTAAACATTCTGTAAAAACTCAACTATTATCTTAATTATATTTTAGATTTTGTATGTTTAAAATGAATGTTTATCTTGTATTTGTTTATATTTATCTACAATTCGTTACATTGATTTAAAAAGGGAAATTCCACAAAACGACCAAAATATACATGATGTATTAACGAGCCAATTTTTACCAAAGTTGCCAAAATAACTATATGGAACACCCCCCGGGAACATGTTTGACCATGGAGAGCGATCCATACAAGTTTAACCAAATAGTACAAAAAAATAATAAAAAATTAATTTGGTGAGACCCACATGTATCTACTTTAGAAAATCAAACACTGTTTGCCTCAATAATGGGGATCGCCCCCACCTCACCGGATCTACCCCTAGGGGCGATCCATTTTTTCTACCACTATTTTGTCTTTTAGTATATATCGATTAAGGGATGTTTTAAATAAATAAGAGACGATTTAAACTGTTTTTTTTTTACCATTTTGGGATCAAATGTCATGGTTTTAGTTTATAAAATAAAACAGTTATACTCTCATAACCTGTAAAACACAATCTAACGTGACAACCCTTAAAAAATATGATTGTACGTGAAGATTTATAATTTCTACCACTTAAAAAAACATAAATTAACCAAAGAATGTTGTTATATTTTCTTATAAAAAATATTTTTTTACCACACTAAATGTTGATATTCCTATAATAATCGTGAACACAAAAAAATTATTTTTATCTGATTTGAGAGAAAAAAAATCATATATTATATCTAATTTACGTTGTTTGACTGCTATTTCGTCTTTTAGTGTCTAAATCGATTTGACAATTAAGGGGTGTTTCTAATAAATAGAAGACGATTTAGAGTGGTTTTTAACTATTTTAAGACCAAATGTCATGGTTTTACTCTATATAGTAAAATATTTCTTCTCTCATAATCCGCAACCCATAAACACAATCTACCCTCACAACTCTTAAAACAATATGAAAGTACGTGAAAATTTAATAATATTTTTAACGAATGTTCTTATATTTTCTTATAAGAAATTTATTTTTTATAAACACCGAATGCTCATATTCTATAATAATTGTGGACACGAAAAAAATTATTTTTATCTGATTTTGGGAACAAAAATAAGATATTATATATGATTTACATAGTTTGACTGCTATTTCGTCTTTTAGTGTCTAAATCGATTTGACAATTAAAGGGTGTTTTTAATATATAAGGGATGATTTAGAGTGTTTTTTTAACTGTTTTAAGACCAAATATCATGGTTTTACTTTATAAAATAAAACATTTCTACTCTCATAACTCGTAACCCGTAAATACAATCTACCGTCACAACCCTTGAAACAATATAAAAGTAGATGAAGATTTAATAATTTTACCAATTTATTTGAAACGCATTATATTGTTTATAAACACACATATTTTTTATAAACACCGAATTGGTAAAACAATATAATTTTACCAATTTGTTTTATAAACTAAAACCATGACATTTGATCATAAAACTGTAAAAAAAACAGTTTAAATCGTCTCATATTTATTAAAAACACACCTTAATCGATATACACTAAAAGACAAAATAGTGGTAAAAAAACATGGATCGCCCCCAGGGTAGATTCGTTGAGGTGGGGGCGATTCATATTATCGAGATAAATAATGTTTGGTTTCTTAAAGTAGATATATGTGGGTCTCATCAAATTAATTTTTTATTTTTTTTTCGTACTATTTGGTGAAACTTGTATGGATTTCCCCATGGTCAAACCATGCCCCCCGGGGCGATCCATATGGTTATTTTGGCAATTTTGGTAAAAGTTGACTATTTCGTTAATACATCAATATATTTTGGTCGTTTTGGTGATTTTCTCATTTAAAAATGGAGCTTATGTAAAATTATTTGTTATGTTGAATTTTCGATAATATATATTAATAAACAGTATTTCATAAAAAAATAATTTGTATAATATAAAATAACATACAAAGAGGAGGACCACCACCATGTTAAGGGTGTAATAATGGGTTTGTAGTGCTTTCGTGTGTTTTAATATCATAATTAGCATATCAAGAGAATAACTACGGTGCTGACTGTTTAATCTTGGGTATGTTTGTTTGTTCAAGTCAACAAAGAGTTCTTTATCGATTCAAATAATAACGCAGGGCATCTCCCACCGCTGCACCACTCTCCTTCCTTCCTTCCTCTCTCTCTCTCTCTCTCTCTCTATCTCTCTCTCTATCTCTCTCAGAATGATTCAGAGATGGCACAAGAAGACCCAACTTCCACTCCTAGCACTCGTCTTCTTCCTCTTTGTGCTCTGTACAATCTTTATTAACGAGCGTCGATTTCAAGAAATCCACCGGAAAGAAATTCGGAAAGGAGATGATGTTGCTACTCGTAATGATGTTAAGAAGACATTTTCATCCACATCAACACCTTCTTCCCTGAATAGCAGCCACCCAAAAGATCGTTCAGGTTTGTGCTCCTTGCAATCTGTTTGATTTTCAAGTTCTGAAGAGACGTTTCGTTTGTTTGGTTCACTAGGGTTTGTGTATGATCATCATAAATCTGTTTTTCTTGTGATTTAACTTGATGGGTGTCTTTAATATATCATCTTTCTTGATTTGCGAGTTGGGTTTTTACCCTGATGTGATTTCTTTGGTAGAACGAACCCACTTTCATCTTCCACATTCACATGAATTCTGTGCAAATTTGGGGAAAATTGATTTACTATCGAGATCTACTTTGGTAACTTCGTCTGGAGATTCTATTATGTTTCCAAACCCATATCTTGTTAACTTAGAAACGATAAGTTTCATCTCTAAAATGGCAATTCAGTCCATTTAGGCCTGTTACTCTCTGAATTTTCTATTACAGTTACTTGTATTCATGCGATGGCATTATCTTATCTGGCAATTATGGGGGGAATCCAGTGGTTTTGGATAGATTCAGCACCTGCAAATCTACAGTAAAGTACAGTGGAAAGAAAGCTGGATGGGACATACATTTTGATAAACAAGAAGAAAGGAAGGATTCATGCGATGTGTTTTCGGGCAGATGGGTATTCGACAACACTTCTTATCCGCTTTATAATGAATCTGATTGTCCATACATGTCTGATCAGTTGGCTTGCCTCAAACATGGAAGGCCTGATTTGGGTTACCAGTATTGGAGATGGCAACCTCATGGCTGCAATCTCAAGAGGTAATATGTTCTTGATAGTGAAGTTTGTAAATGAGTTGAGTTATAGAACCATAGGGGTATCATTATATCTTCATTTGAAGTAAGCAAAAGTTGCAAGATTCATGGGAGTTGTTCAATTTGATTCAAAATCATACGACAAAGTTTAATCTGTGGGAAATGTGTGATCTTACAGTTTCTTGAACTTCTTTTTTTATGAATTTTAGATGGAATGCAACTGAGATATGGGACAAGTTAAGGGGGAAGAGATTGATGTTCGTTGGAGATTCACTAAACAGAGGTCAATGGATATCAATGCTCTGCCTGTTACAGTCGGTAATCCCTGCTGAAAAGAAGTCAATCACACCAAATGCCCCTCTTACCATTTTCCGAGCAGAGGTATATTAACGGTTCAATTCTTCGTTTTTTTGGTGAAATCTGTTGGTTTAGTTTTAGAATGTGAGTTTCTTTTGTTAATAGGAGTACAATGCCACAATAGAATTTCAATGGGCACCGCTTTTAGTTGAGTCAAACTCAGATGATCCAGTTAATCACAGATTGGATGAGAGAATAATGCGCCCTGATTCAGTTCTGAGGCACGCATCTGAATGGAAGCATGCGGATATATTGATCTTTAATTCATACTTGTGGTGGAGACAAGGCCCCGTAAAGCTGTTGTGAGTGAACCTCTACTTGTTTTAAATTTCATATATATATATATATATATATATATTTTAAAATTTCATATTGCCATTTTTTTCCCGATATAGATGGAGTACAGAGGAAAATGGCGTTTGTGAAGAAGCACAAGGGTTGGAAGCGATGGAGTTGGCCATGGACGCATGGGCTGATTGGATAGGATCTAACGTCGATCCTTTGAAGCAGAAAGTGTTCTTTGTTACCATGTCTCCTACTCATCTCTGGTAAGTCTCTATTCTATAACCAGACTTGAGATTTTTTTGCATGGCATGATCAATTTTCTTGGAACTGACAGGAGTCGGGAGTGGGAAGCAGGAACGAACGGGAACTGTTACAGTGAAAAATCTCCAATCGAAGATGAAAAGTACTGGGGAAGTGGTTCAGACTTGGATACAATGAGGATGGTGGAGAATGTTGTAAGTTGGTTGAAGTCAAAGGTTAGCGTTATCAACATTACTCAGCTGTCTGAGTACCGAAAAGACGGCCACCCTTCGGTCTATCGCAAGTTTTGGGAGGCGCGAACGGATGAGGAATTGGCGAATCCCATGAGTTATTCTGATTGCATACATTGGTGCTTGCCTGGTGTTCCTGATGTTTGGAATCAACTACTGCTCCATTTTCTTCTATGAATAGAAATAGAAACTACTCTGCATCTCTTGAATCAAAGATGGATGGAACCTATAAATAGAATGATGATTTTAAATCCCATGCATTTTGTTTTTAGTAACAGTCGATATACAAGTTAAACTTGTACACAACTCAATTAATTCCATTGGATTGGATTGGATTTGGCGGAATTTAAAATTGAATTCCTATGCATCATAAATTAATAGCTTTGAAAAAAAAAAACAGAGTAGATTGAATTATTATGGGCCATACTTATGAATATGAAGATCCATTACCGACAATTGCTGCCTTCACCATCAAAACCACACCCAATTTTGTCGACTCTTTGGAAGAAGAAGAAAATAAGGATGGTTTTTTTTTTTGGGCTTATTCATCAAGTATGTATACAATAAGGGAGTGTTTGGGATTGCTTATAAAATAACTTATTGGTTTATTTTGGTGTGACATCGGTAATAAACACTTTTGAGTGTTTGGATAAATAACTTATATTGATGTCAAACCGGTAATAAGTAGTTTTTGAAGAAGTTAAATCATTCTTTTGTGTGTTTGTTGGTTTAGACAAAGGGGAAACAAGAATACCATGATTTCATCCCACTTCCAATTAATTGTATTTATCTCGTTATGTTGTCTTCTTTAGTTCCTTGAGCATATTTCTTTTCTATTCCTCACCCAAAACATCACCAAATCACAAATTATTCATATCCGCCAGTGGCGGATCTAGAAACTATTATGGTTGGGGGAACACTTAGGAGGGTCGAAAAAATTTCGAAACCGAACAATTCGTCCGAACCAAAAAAGGTTTCGGGTTTCCATTTTCAGGTTTAAACTGTTCGGTTAACCGAATAAAGATAACTAATGCGGTTGAAATAAAGATAACTTATGTTTTAATCTTTTAGTACTCTTCTAAGGCCTATAAAACTAACCTAACATTTGACATTTCCATTTGATTTGCCTACAAAATTGCCTATAAAATTAACCTAACATAAAGCATTTACCAAATCATCAATAAGCAAACAACAAAATCAAAGAAGTAATCAAAATTAAAAACTAGAATTTGGAAATTAGAATTTTTACCCAAATTATTTGCTTCAATCCAGTGACTCCAACTCCAAGTCTCCAATTCCAGCCGCGCCCACAGTCGAAACTCGAACTCAAGAACAAGATAAAAATCAATGGTTTAGTAGCATTTTTATTTGCCTACAAAATTAACCTAAAATTTGACATTTCCATTTGATTTGCCTAATTGCCTACAAAATTACCTACAAAATTAACCAACAAAATTAA